GATAGAAAATTCACGCTGCCTTATTTGTTGTATTAACTTCTCATTGCAAAACTCATGGAGGTGCACCAATATAAGTGTTTGTGTAACTCCACCATCATGGTTATAGCTGGACTTAATTTGACCTAAAAATGCTCACCTGTATTTTAAAAAATTACTAGTGTCTTCTTGTGTAAAATTTTTAGTACAAATGTGTGCCCACCTTCATCTGGCTGTGCACGGTTCTGATCATGCAGTTTGCTTTCTGAGTTATTCTCCTCAGCAATGTACAATTTGGGCAATTGTTTAGTGGCGTTCCTCTGTGTAATTTCACGCCTGACTGACATGCCCTGCAGTCATCCTTATGTTCTTCTGATGATGGAGGCTGTACAGAGAGCAGCCCTGTGGCAAAGTTCTCACTGAGTTTCACCATTGGCTTCTGTGGATCCAAAGTTTCACCCTAAGTGTGTTGAATCTATGAACTACTGTAAGGGGCTAAGAACTGAGATAACTTTAATTGCCTTGGGTGTTAAGCTCAGTTGTGGTTTATTTTAAGTGTGTAGGGGAAGCACTTCTTGAAGAGTGATTTGAAGAGACAGAACAAAAATGAGTGCACCCTTGGGAATGGCTGAGGACAGCCTTCTTGCAGAGCTCACATCCAGTTCCAGATTTAAAAGGTCGTTATCTAATGAGCACAAGCAATTACTTAGCTAATGAGCACAACAAAATGAGCACAAGAAATGTGTTGCATCTGCAATGCCCACTAGGAAGACATGGTTTTGAGCTTGAGGCTGCCCTTGCTTTAAGACCCGGGTCACGGCAGTGAGATTAATCCAGGGCATAAATCACAGAGGTTAGATTAGTGTTTGTTTTACTTGAAATCACATTTCTTGCTCCTTATCTCCTCTAAATCTTGCAGTTTCTTTGCTCAATCATGAACCAGAGAATGGAATGGGTTTAAACAGCCGCAGCTTCCCTCCTGAGCACTGGCTGTCAGCCCTCAGGCTTGATTTACCACTGGAACGCAATTATGAAACGGCACAATGCAATTAATGTGTCTTCCCTCCCCTTTCATGCCAGACAGGAATTCCTCCTCCACCTTCCTTGGTTGGGTTAATTTTTATAAAGTAATCTAATCCAAGGTGACTTTATTTTCCGCTGGATCTACCAGATCTACCAGGGATGTACCAGGTGGCAATGGATAAACAGCTGATTATATATCCCGGTTAGGGAGGTTTCTGTGTGCCTACTACTATTTCTGTGCAAGTTCAGATTGTTTGTGGGCCTTTTTTTGTTTTGTTTTGTGGTTGTGTTTTCCCACTTTTACAGCTGACAGTGACAGCCAGAAAAACAAGTCAAATGTAGAGTCAATTGCTTAATTTTTTCCAGCCATTAAGCAAAAGATGTATGAGGTCAGGACATTCTCTCACTACCAGGTAAAGTCTTCCCAGTGATGATCTAGCTAATCGTCTGCAAGTACTTCAGAAACAACATCTGACATCTGCCTGATACTGCCTAGAAGTATGATTTTTTAGAGTAAGACCAGAAAGCTAAGGTCTTGGTTTGCAAGGACCCTATAAACACCACATACACTGGCCCCATGGGGGAAACCTACATGTGCAGAATCATCTTGTCGCTCATAATTCTGTAGCATCACTGTGTTGCTCAGTGTTTAAGAAGGTGCTGGTCTGTAGCACATACTGATTAAAACAGTGTGGAAAATTTCTGTGTATGCAAGGATAGGTAAAAATTCTATATGCAAGTTTTTAAGTTAATGTTAGGGCTACTGTAACATCTTTGTTCTTTATTTTTAATCAAGTGCAGTCAACCATCGCTTATTTTCTTTGCATTTTTTCTGATGTATTTCACTGCATATTGAACGCATTTTTTCTTTTACTCTTTATGGATGTGTTTCATTATGCCTAAAACTTTACTCAAACAGCCTGTAGGAAATCAGAAATCTTCATTTATTTTTACATTTTCAGGAAATTTCTTGCCCTTCAGAGGGAGGTACAGTGGAATTACATGAATGAAAGGGAAATATTGATTTCACTCCCCTCGTGAAATAACTTCTCAGAGTCATGGCTATTATCAAATTAAGCTGAAACTAGCTGAACAGTAAAACCAAGTAACAAAAGGCATATTCAGCCTCAAAACTACTTCCCATTTTCTATGGTCTCACAATAGCATGGATGGCTTTTGCTCCTTAATTTAGGTACAAACTTTTCTCTGGGGCTCTGTGTTACTTTTCATACTGCAGGAAGTAAACTCAGAAGGTTTTGGTTATGTGCAACGCACGGAGTAAGCAAGGGCTGCCAAAAGTTAGAGCAGAGCTTAGAGACGAAGAGTTAGAGACGAAGAGGAGGCTGAGGGGAGATCTCATCATGCTCTATAATTACTTGAAAGGACATTGTAGAGAGGTTGGTGCTGGTCTCTTCTCACAGGTAATTAGGGACAGAACCAGGGGGAATGGTTGCAAGTTGCAACAGGGCAGGTTTAGGCTGGACATGAGGAAGAAATTCTTCACAGAAAGAGTGGTCAGACACTGGAACAGACTGCCTAGGGAGGTGGTTGAGTCGCCATCTCTGGATGTGTTCAAGTGTCGCTTAGATGTGGTGTTGGGTGATGTGGTTTAGGGGTGAAGTTGTAGTGTAGGGTTAATGGTTGGACTCGATGATCCCAAGGGTCTTTTCCAACCTGAATTGTTCTATGATCCTATGATCCTAAAGTGGCAATATGTGAAGGCTGCCCATGTTGATCTTCCTCTGAGGTTGGTAAGGAATTGCCTTTGCTGCTGGTGCTGAGCCAAAGGAGAGCTGAAAAAGTGCTGCTTAGACATCGAAGCTGAGGTTTTCAAAGAGGCTTCTTGTTGGCCTAACTCAGTCTCTGCTGAAACCTGAGGTGATTTCCTCACTGGTTTTAGCATCACCTATTATGCAATGCTGAAGGTCTTTGAAAATCCCAAACCATGAACAGGTTGGTTGACTAAAGTCCCTGATCTGCTGCCTTTGAGAGGTGAAAGCTTCCCTTTGTGGGAAACAGAAAATTTGGTGTGCTGCTGCTTTCCCTTTGCTCCTTCTTAGCACGGCTTGGGTGTAAACACAGCCATGGCTGCCCAGTACCAACAAATCCTTTCAGGTCACTTGGAGAGGATTTTTCTCCCTATGTGAAGCACTCAGGAGTTCCAGTTGTTTTTTTGCCTTTTGAGATCAAAAGAGGTATCTGTGTAGAGGCCTTGCTTAAATTCCTTTGCAACTCATTGGATTTTGCATTAAATTAGATTTCACATGCTGAGTGAGCAGTCAACCCTTAGGAGCCTAGAGAAAAGAATACTCTGTTTCTATGCATTTTAATGTCATGGTCAAGTTGGGGCTAACGCTCCCAGGCACCTCCTTCAGTGTTCACCTTTCAGCCTCTCCATCCTAAGCCCTGTATTTTTAAACATGTTGCCTGCATTTTATTACCTTTGTAAGTGGAAAACAACAGCATATGTTCTCTGCTTGCTAGAAAATGCCTGAATTGTCTTGGTTTGAACTTTAAAATAAAGGTCAGACTTGAGGCAGGCATGAATTGTAGCATGTGTCAGCCCAAAAGGTGAAAGCTTTAGGAAGTTATGAGCAAATGAGGCAGTTTCAGATTTCACTAGGGGCTGGAGCAGCTGTTATTCCTGTTGTTCAGAGAGTGACATTCAGAGTTATAATGCTAAAGAATATATATATATATTATGTTCGGGGAGAACTCAAACGTAGAGAGTAGTCACTGAGGTAGTGAGAAAAGTGTTTTGGGTGGTGCGGGATAGAGCAGGGTCAGCCTTTATGTTAATGGCACAAGGGTGAGATTGTGGGAAATCCCAAGTATCAAGGTGGATGTAAGAAAAGGGAACAGGGAGAAGACAAAAGAGACCAGAGGAGTCTAGGGGAGTTTCTGAGGGTTTTCCAGCATCTCCTTGCAAGTGAAAATTAATTGTTTTGGGACAGGAATTCACAGCTCTTTATTGCAGGGACTCAGTGAGGCTGGTGGATTACCTTGTTCTGTGGTCTCAGAATGCTCTGGTTGGTTCATACGTGTCAGGCAAACATGGTAATTTTAGCGCTTTAGGGGCTCTACAGGACTACATAAATACCGCCTAAGCCATCCAGCTGAATTTAAAACTTAATTACTTCCCCACTTAATAATATTCTCTCCCCCAACTACTGCATTAGAGGATCCTGGGGTTAAGAGAAATCGTTAATCTTCCTTAATGAAGCTATTTTCTAGCAGGAGACAGAATGTCTTGCCCCTGTGGATTCTGAGATGGAGTTTTTATGAGTGTTATGAATGGGGAAGTGGGGAGCAAGCAGTAGAGGAAAAACAGTGTAGAAAAGGGAATAGGACCCAAAATGCTGGCAGTGGGAGCACCCTCCGACTCGCAGGCCCCTGCTGGGTTTAGCTAAAAGGAACACGATAGTCATGGGGAAGAGGCACGAGCCCTATTAAAAGCTGGATAAGTTGACTGCATAAGTGTTCCCACCACAACTACTAATTATTGGAATACCAGCAATTGCCAAAGCTTTTGCATAACTGAGAGGAGCTCTCTTGAAAGCTGTGGTTGAAATTGTGCATCTCCAGAGAAATCTAAAGCAGAATGGCAGTGGCAGAGTTTGGTTCTCTGCTGTTACGTGCCAAGGCTGATCCATGTCCTCAAAGCTGCTTCTCCTGAGACAGTCTTGCCTTATATTATGATTAAATTGCATGCAAATGTGGCAAAATCTCTGTGAGTGACCCGATGTAAATCGCTCCTTTTGCATGCATGAAAGGGAAGGAAATCATGGTCCCTGAAACAGTGCAAGGTTAAATCCTCCCCTAGTCCATGGCTTCTGGGGTACCCACTGCACTGAGCACCATTGCCTGCCTTGTTCCGGGGCTGACTGGGGAGGCAAGGATGACCTTGCCATTCTCCAGCTTGCCTCCATTTGTCGTTCCCTTTGGTGGAGATACTGAAGTGCTTTTGCTTCTCTGTTTATTGTGTTCATCCCTCACTGCAGAAGATGCTGGACGAGTGCCAGGACAGGCGGAGCTGCCAGTTTCTCGTCAATAGCCGGCTGTTTGGCTCTGATCCGTGCCCTGGAACTGGCAAGTACCTCATCGTGTGGTACAAGTGCAGGCCAAGTAAGTATCTATCAAATCTGTTTGTGACACCGATATGCTTTCGTACTTAATATTTGCCAGAGAGGCCTCCTAGGACTTTTTTGTTCCCTTGCACCTTTATTTTTAGTGTAATATAACCCCCCTGGATGCGCAGCGTTTCCCCTCTCCCCTTGCTTGCTGCCTTGCTGGGATGCTGCGGCTCCAGCTCCTTCCTCCTTGCTGGCAGTCCGAGCTACAGATTGTTTTCACAAGTGCCAGCAAAAGCCTTTGCCAACGCTGAGCTCACAGTCTCGGCAGTGGCTGGGCTGCTCCCGCTCCTGCCTGCAGTCGCTCTTCTGTGCCGGCAAGTCAGTGGCATTTGTGCCCTCTCCTCTTGCCCATCCAGAGGGTTTGTCTGCCTGGGCAAAGACTTCAGGCATGGGTACTTAAAGCAGGTGCAATGGGAAGCTCACCTGCCCACGCTGTGCCACAAGCCAGATTTTAATTGCTCCCAGGTCAGGCTGGGAAATGTTAACCTGTGTTTTGTGTGATCTCATTAGCTGCGTTTAACTTAAAAGGGGCCTGCGCCTGGGTACTGGCAGTGCAATGATGCGTGCTGCAGAGGAATGAGCCTGGTGTGGCTTTGGCCCAGGACACCCTCTTGGCCAATTTCTCGTCCCACTGGGGGAGCTGACACTGCCTGAGTACAGTTTTCCTAATGGTGTTTTGGAAACAGGCACGTCAGTTTGGAGATGGATAGGGTTTGATGATGGCCAAACTGTGCCAAGAGTTGGCGACAGATGAGGGGAGACCTCATCGCTCTCTACAACTACCTGAAGGGAGGTTGTAGAGAAGCGGGAATTGGTCTATTCTCCCTAGTGGAGAGTGATAGGACGAGGGTAAATGGATTTAAATTGCGTCAAGGGAGGTTCAGCTTGGATATTGGGAAGAATTTCTTTGCTGAAAGGGTTGTCAGGCATTGGAAGAGGCTGCCCAGGGAGGTGGTTGAGTCACCGCCCCTGGAGGTGTTTAAGAGACAGGTGGATGTTTCATTGGGGGAATCATTTAGTAGGTTGATAGGGCTGGGACAAAGGTTGGACTCGATGATCTTCTAGGTCTCTTCCAGCAGATACGATTCTATGATTCTGATTTCAGTTGGAGACCAGGACTTGACTCTATTTGAATGAACAGTCTGAACATGGCATTTCAGACCAGCCTATGCCCCAGCTTTTTAGATGGCATAACTAACATACTTCCAGCATTACATAAGCAAAATTTTTGGAGAAGAAGTATACATAAAAAAAGAAAGTTTGCACAGGAAAGGAAAACATATTTGATTTCAGAAAAAGTTTGAAACAAAAGCAGAAACATATATACTCTGTCAGCAGCACAAAAAGCTTTTTGCCCTAGCACGTAGAGGCCTGTGCAAATGAAGTGAAGGGATCTGGCAAGATCTGTGAGGAATTCAAACAAAAAGCAGGTAACAAAGCACCTGCATCTGTTGTGGGGTTTTCGTGAGTGATCGTAACGTCACTTGTTGGGTGAGAAATGCATCTCCAAGAGCAGGGTGATTAGGAGGCTGTTCTAACAAGTCCTCTTGAACCTGCAGTTTTTGTATCAAAGCTTGCTTGGAAAATCTGGCTATTGAGGCCTGTGCTGAACTTTAGGATCCCATCTGTGCATAAATATTTATGGCTTGGCATTCTTTACTGATTACAGATACAGTAGAGAAGGAGTTTGCATGAGTACAGGGTAGGTGATTTTCCTGAAAGAGCAAGGGAAGCTGCTTGAAAACATTTCCTCAAGCAATTTTTCAGGCAGCTCCAATTTTGCAGGGTGAAACAAGGTAACCTGACACAAGTTATTGTTTCTTAGTCACTGGGCAAACTTTTAAGCAGAACTCACTGGATTAATAACAAGATTAGAAATATGTGAGGATTAGTTTTGCACAGAGATACCAGGAATCGGTCAGCCTGTCCTTGATGATTCAAAAATGTTATTTTTGAGTATCGCGAGCAGAATCTAGTGCTTGTGTAAGTTCGATAAGCCTTTCCACCTTTCTATAGGGAGAAGGTTAGTGAGAGAACTGGCATTAGATGGAACCATAGAATGCAAAATACAGGACCACGAGATATTTTGATGGGCTTTACCCATTGAGTATGTGAGGATTGTCTATGAGGTATAAATGAATTTGTGTTTAAAAGCTGATCCCAAAAGTTGTGGTCCTACGAAGTGTTGACCTGCTTCAGAAAGCCTGAACATGCATAATTGTAATCAAAGAGCACCAGAGAGTCCATGTCGAGAGCTCATTGCCTGGCACGTGGTTTGATCCATAACTTATCAAAAGACAAAGGCAGTTTTTAGGGTTCTGTTCCTGAATTTGTCCTTAACAGTAGACATGCTGCTGAGGTATGTGCCTCAGTTGAGTGCCTACTTAGGTGTAATGAATGTAGTTGTCCTGTATGCAGGTATCAGAGGTACTTAGGGAAGTGGCCTGCAGAGTTTAGATGGAACATCTTTAACATAAAATAAGGATGCTCAAGTCCTCCCACTCTCTGATGCTGGAACCTCAGAAGGCCCTTGAGCAGAGGGAGTTATCTAAAATGAAATATTTCCTTGAAAGAAAGCAAAACTGAAGTCAGTGGCATTTACTTGTACCATTGCTGAAGAATTACTAGATGGTGCACTCATTCCCTCTAGCCACTGTCACTGCAGTTATGCCTCTCTGACATTATGTTGCGTTTGAAATCTAGTGGTTTCGAAGCTCACTGGCTGTATGGGGTTCATTCACAAGGCAAGGTGCTATTTTGGGTTCTCCTGGGCAGAATTTCAGGGAGATGGAGGACAGTAAATCATGCTGGAACTGAAAGCCCCAGGTTTTCCGAATAATGAGGCTCCAGGGAGCAGGACAACTCGGAGGATCTCAACTGTACTAAGCGCTCTGAGATTGCTTATGCTGGAAGTAGGGAAGGCTCCTGCAGGGATTTGGCCCTCAGTTGTTGTGATTCACCTTTTCTAGAAAATCAAAGAAATAGTTCAGAGCAGTGCTCTCATAACTAGAAACAGTGAGAAATTCAATGGTTTTTGTGTTTTTCGGGAAGTCGTCTGCTAAACACGGTGCCCTCTGATCCAATGGATGGATCTGGGGTATAGAGGACACGCATCCTCTAGGACTCAGATATGTGTATGGGACTGCTCTTACATGCCAGGTCTTTGGAAGTCCTGAGTATTCTCTGTGTCTGTAAATATATAAATCCACTATAGTATAGGATGTTTAAAGAGATGTGTAATAATGAATAAAATGCTCTATTCTGTCTCAATTTAGGACAAGTGAGACTTATTTATTGCTGCTATGTGATGTGAGGGCCAAGGTTCATGAAATCTATAGAGGCTTGGCTTTTTCTTTTTCCTCTTTTTTTTTTTTTTTTTTTTTTTCCCTATAGCATGCGGGCCTTAGTTCCTAATATACACCAGCCTTTGGGAAGAAAGATGTTCAAAAGCACAGCAGAGGTCTCAGTAGATCACAGCTATGGCTTGTGCTTCCAAACTTGGAGGAGTCCCTGCCAATCATCTTGCTATCTGCAGTCTCAGTCTCCCAGAGGGTCCCTACAGGTCAAGGTTGGGACATCTTGCTGTGGAAGTGAAACCTGAAGTTGTTCCCTGCTAATGTAGATGTAGTCTGCTATGTAGCACCGGCTGGGGATGGTTTCCAGTGAGAAGTGGCAACCCTATTTTAGAGGCTAAAAAAGGTGATGAAAATGGCTGTGGGCTGTGACAGTGCCAGAGAACAGGCACATTTAATTGATCAGGACCGATGTCACCTAAGACCCACACCCAAAGCATGCTGAAGCCTAAGATCAAGCCTTGAACACACAGAGGACTTCAATCTCTGGGGTACCTTTGAGGGCCATTAAAAAATTGCACACAAATCCAATTATTTCTCAGGTAACATGCTGATTTGATTTAGACCTATTAAGTGCAATTACCAGGTAGGCTGCAGGAACATATAATTAGAGGGAATTGACATACTATTTAATTGGTCTAACATGAATTCCCTCTAACTGAAATCTGGATTCACCAACATTATTCAAACAATTCAGTGCTTGTTCATCCGCCTCACTTCAGAGGCAGAGAACCATGTAAGATCATGTGTTATTGTAAGCTGGAAGATATTTGCTCTGTGTGCCAGGTTTTCCAGAAGGTCTACGTGGTCTAATTCCAACTGGGAACGGGATCTGTGGGGTTGCCCAAGTTATGCTGAAGAAATAACTTCACCTCTCTACATCCCAGCAATACCACTGCAGCTCGTTTTACCGGGCTTGGTCACTACTCTGGGCTGTTGTACAAGCAGGGATTGATCTGTCCCTGCACAGCATCTGTTTGGCTTTTTGGTTGTTTGGTCATGTTTTTGGCTTTGCTATTTCAGAAGTGCCAATGTTTCTGAACAAAACAGGGATGTAAGTGCTTGCCTTTCTTTGCAAAGGGTTTTCTTGGGATGAGATATGTTGTCTGAGTGGCCACGTGCTGGCAGCGGTGTTGGAAAAGGAGAGGGCTCCTACCCTGCTTGTGTGGCTTTCCCCAAGTCCTCCATGCCTTTTTTTCCCTTGTTCCCTCTTCTGCTGTTGCCACTCTGTCCTGGATGCACTGTCCCCTTCTCAGCTCTGAGTAGGCTAAGCTGCAGCCTGCTATAATGGTATAATGGTATAGTGATATTTTTCCTCTTTCTTATTGGGCAGTTGCTGCTTTTGCTTATTATTTCAAGAACTCTGGGAAAGATAATCTCCATCCAGTGTGGTTTTTTTTTTAACCACTCTTATTTTTATTTCATTTTGAAATGCTGTGAAGGGCAGCTGGGTGTGATAATTGGAGGCTGGTGGGTGTTAAGTCTCCTTATATTAATCATCCCAGCAATATAACAAAGTGTAAATTCAAAATTTGCTGCTCTCCCTTCTATTCACAAGTGTAAACCTAAAGACTTTGAAGTTTCAGAAAGCCTAGATTGTGACCTGGGCTCCAATTGCAGCTCAAATCCTTCTGTAACA